GTGCTTCCACAAACACTGAACTATTTACCAGAAAACAAAAAGACAACAAAAACTTAAGGTAGAGTTATGTGAGTTTTTGTATGGAAAAAAGTTCTACTCCTAAAAACAAAGTTAAAAACCAGCATCTTAAGGAATCTAAGGTAAATTCTAGACCATTTTTCAGAAAACGTATGTCTTAGTCCATTTGGGCTGCCATAATAAAATTCCATAAACTGGGGAGCTTATAAACAACAGAAATTTATTTCTCACAGTTCTGGGGATTGGAAGGTCCAAGATAAGGCACCAACGAATCTGACATCTGATGAGAGCCCGCTTTCTAGTTTGTGGAAGCTGTGTCAGAAGCTCTGTCCTCACTTGATGGAAGGGGCTAGCTCACTCTCACGCCTCTTTTATGAGACCACTAATCCCAAGCATGAGAGCTCTATTCTCGTGACCTAACCACCTCCCCAAATCCTCATCTCCTAACACCTTCACCATTAGGGTTAGGATTTCAACATATAGATGGGGGAGTAGGTCACAAACATGCAAAACATCACAGTGCAAAACAGGGAAACTTGCATTCTCCAGCATCTACTGGACTCAGACTCTGACCGCAGAGTGTACAGTAAGGGAGCCATATATCCCAGAATGTAAGGCATCTCTTCTCATCCATCCCTTTCTCTACTTTATCCGCCTTGGAGTTATATACTGTATTGGGAGAGACAGTTTTCTGATTAACATAAATGATGATATAGCAGAGAAGAGAGGAGTTTGACATGAAATTTATTGCCTCTAAAAGTGTTATTCAAATGGAAGTGTGTGAAAGCCTGTCTCTTCAGGTGGTATAGACATTGATTCTCTAAACTCTAGAGGGAATGGATGAACTCTCTTTTTTCTCTCCCTTTTTTAAAAAATAACTTTTTTCTTCTTATAACACTAATATAACACATAGTGTAAACATCTGAAAAATACAAATAATAAATATCAAGGGAACCCACCAATCAGCCCTTCCCAAATGTGAACTTCAGCCTTTGCATATGTGCTTCCAGGCTTATTTGTGCTGTTTAAAGCTACTTTTTTTCTTCCCCCAAATTTGGATCACACTCAAAATTTTTATAGCCTGCAGTTAAGTTGCACAAAGAAGCAGAGGTCACTGTAATGCAATAATGTTCCCTGATGGGGTGACTGACTCACTACCATTCAACATCCTTTCTTTTGAGGGGCTTGACCTTATGTCCATCCTCCAACTACTGTCTCTGTCTCCATGCTGTGGGGCATCATAATGCAGATAGACTGGAAGTTTTTTCTTAAGATAAATGAAAGAGGCCAGGGCAGTGCTTCATGCCTGTAATCCTAGCACTCTGGGAGGCTGAGGAGGAAGCCAGGATCCTTTGAGCTAGGGAGTTCAAGACCAGCCTGAGCAAGAGGGAGACCCCATCTCTACTAAAAGTAGAATAAAAATTAGCCAGATGTTGTGGCGACTGTCTGGAGTTCCAGCTACTTGGGAGGCTGAGGCAGAGGACACTTGAACCCAGGAGTTTGAGGTTGCTGTGAGCTAGGCTGATGCCACAGTACTCTAGCCTAGGTCACAGAGTGAGACTCTGTCCCCAGAAAAAAGTAAATGGAAGATGCTTCAGATTTCTGTAATTACTGATAAATCTGTCTGGGTTGGACCAGTTGAAAAACTGATGAAGTAAAGAATCAATAGAGATGATGATGGGTTAGGCATTCAAAGAAGAATGATTGGAGATAACATAATATTTAATGTTGAATACTAAGATTGGCTTTAGGGAACGTCAATGTAGTTCCCATGTAGTGTTGCCACCATGTTGGTGCCACATAAGTCAAGATGAAACATAGCAAGTGATGTACTATTGTATATCATTTTAATAAAAAAAACTGCATTCCCACCTTACAAAAAAAAGCCACTATTTATTCATTTATTCTGTGATCTGTGATAACAAGGAACACCTCTATTTAAGCTTTTCTTAATTCTCTGGACTGTTTTATATCTGCTATGATAAAAAATAACCAGATAACCACATTGTCAATGGAAAAGAACCCAAACTCCATAAAATAATTACGAGAGGTTTATTCTGAACAAAGTGTGAGCAGTGTGGAACCATGCCCAAGAAGCCTTGAGCAAGTAAACTAGCTATGATTGGGTTACAGTTCGGTTTTACACATTTTAGGAAGACAGAATCAGTACATGGAAGGCATACAATGGTTTAACTGAAAAGGCAGGACATCTCTAAGTGGGGCTATATGTGGGTTTAAAGATTCTTTGGGCTCGGCGCCTATAGCTCAACCGGCTAAGGCGCCAGCCAC